TCCCAGACAGGGGAGCAGCAGGAAGCACGTTGATGATATCGAGTTAATGAAGATGGAGAGACTGGAAAGCCAAACTGGGGTACTGAGAGCACTGAATGCAGGCAAAGGAGCCCAAGTAAAGCCAAGTGGGACTGAACAGTGTCCCAACACAAGGCAATTTTTCTAGAGACTTATTTCTGCAATTTTGAAGACAGGACTAAGAAATGAAAATATGAGAGCTAGAAACAGGGGGAAACAGGGTTTTTAATATACTTACTAAGTAGTGAATCACTTCAAATTCACAAATTAGAAGAACAATTCTTTGGCAGATAGGTCCTTTTCTGAGATTTGATGGCCTTCAACCTTTCACCTCTGCCCACCCTACTTCTGATCTTCATTAAACTTTTAAAATTTTGTCTTCTCCAACTTTTAGTCCCTGCAATCTTCTATTTGGCAATCTATTCAATCATCCTTGTGGTTTTCCTCCCTGCCCTTCCCTTGGATTCTCTGTACTGTGTCACCTGTACTGTGTTCCAGGCAATGAGTCCTCCTTTGGGTGGCACTCTTGTCCTGCCTAGCCCTAGACCTGCTAGACAGAAACTTTCAGTTAGTAATTAGTTGAATTGAATTGAATCGAATGGAGTTGCATAGAATTGAGTCCCTCCACCACCTGTAAACACAAATCCACTCATCCACTCCTTCCCCTTCTTTGAAATTCTCAAAACCACTAAAACACAGCTGATTTTATTTAAAACAGCAAGTATTCGGTCAAGCTAACATGTAGTTGTGGCTCTTGACTCAAAGGATGTACAACTCACAAGACAAGGGAAGCATTGCAAACTCCTAAGTGGCCTGGGTCTCCCAGCGTTTTGATGGGCCAACTTATCTTCCCAATTCTCAGTTCCCCAGAGTAGTGGGAGCGAGGAAGGAGGGAGTAACATGCAACCGACTTAATGCACTCTTACTTATAAAAGTCTGTAGCAACAAGAAATAAAACAGTGCCCTAAATTCTTTATTAGATTCAACTTCCAGTGTACAAACATCCTAATTCAGATTAAACAAAATTGCCCACACACATTCCATTTCTAACGAGACTGTTTTCCTCCCTTCCTTCCCCTCCCGCTTCCCTCTTGCATTTCTTTCTTTCTTGTTTTCCCCCAGTCTTGGTTCTCCTTTCCCCCGGCTTATCACAGTCTTCCCAAAGAAAAGCCTCCCTGTGACCACGAATCGCCACAAAGGAAGGAAACCCTCCATAAGTGAAAGCCAAGCCCTCAGCGGGGCGTGTCGGGGTGGACGCCCCCACCCACTATTAGTGTGAGAAGGCTGGACAGCGAAGTTCAAGTGTCCACAGGAGAGGCACGGGGGTTACCAGATCTGCTCACTTGCATAAACGGACCGATCCCTTCTGCGCAATCGGACCCCAGGAAAGCAGCCTCCCTTTAAGGGCCTAGGAGCACGGCACTTTGAAAGTGCCCTCCTTGCCCAGACCCCGGGAGAAGTGAGGGGTGCGAAGGCGGAGCCACTGGGCTGGAGACACCCTCCGAAGGTCCGGCCCTCGGCTGCGTTCCTACTACCTTAGGGAGTTGGCGCGGGGAGCGGAATCACCCTCTCAATGAAAGGCAGATGTCCCTTTAAGGTCTGCTTCGCAGCTCGTGGACTTTAGCCTAAACAAGGACCCGCGAAGCTGGCTTTATTTGTCCATGTCTCGGACAGAGCCTGGGAGGCTGCCAGTGGGATTTCAGAGCCCGAGAGTGCGAACGGCGGGGAGATGTGGCAATCCCTCTGGGATGCGAGAAGCGTGAATCGAACTTAGAGGGGCTGGTCGAAAACACAGGAAATCGCTGTGCTGCTCCCAGGCGCCGGGGCCAACGGGGCCAGCGACTGAGACCCACGGCGGCGGGCGGAGTGGCCCAGAGCGACGCGGCTCCAGCGCGTGGTTTCGCCGAGTCCTTCCCTCCGATCCAGCGCGTCCCCTGGGCGCTGCAGCCGCTCCAACTATGGACCCCCGGCGCCGCGCCAGCCCAGGGGTCGCTGTCGCCTGCTGCTGGCTCCTCACCGGTGAGTGACCCTGCTTTTCTCTGAGCATCTCCTGAGCTCGAGACTCGAGACTAGGGGCTTAAAGTGGGGAGGGAGGCATGCAGAGCTTCGGCCCGGAGGGGAGAACGGAGCGCGGATCCACTTTCCGGCGCTCCAGGTACTCTGGGCAGGTTGGAGTACAGAAAGCAGTTTCTGCGTTTGGGTTTTGTTATGAATTACGTTTGATGTCGTTCAAAACCTTCCACCCCAATGTTAGGCGGGAGCGGTGCTGAAAACTTTACAAGATGGAACTGACTTTTCAAATTAAAGTTGTTTTGACAATATACGTGGTATTTTAGGACTTTGCTGATAGCTTCCACCTTCCTTTTCTTTTTTTTTTTTTTTTGAGGGAGGTAACTATCGGGCACCTGATTTATAATATGCAAAGTTCCTACCCTCAGGTTACTCAAGAGTGGGTATTATTCATTTTCTTGCTGTCACGTACTCAAGATATTTTCTGCTACAAAATGAGGAAAGGGAAGAATGCAAGGTAAAGTTGCCTCTTGTCTCGAAATGATGTTTCTGTGTAAAGACCCAGGAGAAGGAACCTATTGAAACTGAGGAAGGAATAGTGAACATTTACTTTGTAAATACCACACAGCCGACTAAATTTTTAAATGCAAAATATCGTATTGTTACTTGTGCATAATAGATATCTTTCAGGAGAGACAAACACAGTGGAGATGCAAAATTACGTTCAATTTAGAAAAAAGGTTGAATTGTAGCATTTTCTAAGATTTTCCAAATGATTAACCCGTGGTCAGATCTTTTTTACCAGTTACTGACTGAGAGGGAACAGTTGCAAGGGTGAAAGAAAGAGAAGGCAGATAGGGTGAAGCTTTGTGTGAAAAGGGCCAATAATCCAAACAGTGGCAACTTCTGAACCACTTTACAGCCAGTGAATGGTTGACCTTATCAGCCACTGTCACTACCCTTTACATGTGTTTGACCTATGATTCCTCTCCAGCTCAAATTTTTTGGAGGTTGTTTGCATTTTTTTCTTGTTGTTGTGCAAAATATGAATGGTTTACTAACTACTCAAGTTGTACCTTTTTCATTTTACTAAATAAGCAGTCACTAATGCAGAAATGATCAAACGAGGTCTGCATATCCTCTAAAAAGACAATGAAACTTGAAAAAACAAACAAATTATAATTTCTTATACATATATATATATATATATTTTAAATTCAACTACTTTATTTCCCCATGCCTAAAACAGCCACAAGTTGTATACTGTGGGTTTTCTGCAATTGTTGGGGGGTAATAAACCTTGCTAAATCCAAGAAGGAACTTAAAGGAAAATAATGCATACACGTTTCTAAATTACATTTAATTCTCTTTTGTGTGTATATATATATGTATTATATCTATATCTATACACATATATTATTCAATCATATTGAAATTTAGAGTTTAAAGTTTTTATCTCAGAATCAACAGGTTCCTTATATGTGCTATATTTATGCCCATTTCACAACACAATAAGGATCTGAAATTTGACTTCTTCCTTTCCTTTGTTGGTTACCCTGTCAGTCATCATGTTGTCAGCTTCCTAACAAACTTCTCATCAATTCAGATTCCACAACTAATCTGGGGTCTTATCACCATACCCACCCTTGCACAGTACTGCAGAACTCATCATCTTGTCTTCATTCTGAACTTAACCTCTAATTCATCTTCTTAATACATAATTTTCATTATACCTTAGTCTTTAGTCAAAAATCTTTGGTGGTTGTTATCTTTCAGATAAAATTGAAAATTCTCAACTGACCTTTCAGGGTCTGCCCTAATCCAGCACCCTCTGTCCCCTACTATGCCTCTATCAGTTTCCTATTACTGTTGTAACAAATTGCCACAGATTTACTGGCTTAAAACAAGACAAATTTACTATCTTACAGTTATGTGGGTCAGAAGTCTCACTAGGCTAAAATCAAGATGCAAGCACGGCTGCATCTCTTCTGGAGGCTCTAGGGAGAATCCATTTCCATGCCTTTTCCAGATTCTAGAGGCAACCTGCATTCCTTGGCTTGCAGCTCCACCTTTCATCTTCAAAGCCAGCAAAGCAGCATCTTCAAATCTTTTCCTGTGACTCTGCTTCATCATCACATATCCTTCTTCTCTGACTCTGACCTTATTTCCTTCCTCCTATTAAAATCCTAATTACTTTGGGCTCACCTGAATAATCCAGGATACTCTCCCCATATCAAGATTCTTAATATAATCATATCTGCCAAATCCCTTTTGCCATATAAGGTAATATATTTGCAGGTCCAGGGATTAGGAAATGAAGATATTTGAGAGACCATTGTTCTGCCTACCAAAACCTCTGAACATAAACTGCCCCTGATAGGCAGTCCCACTTCCTTATTTCCCCCTAATCCTCATGCTCATCTTAAGACTGCGCACGTAATCTTGTTTTCTGCATCTAGAAGAGCACTCCACCCTTCTTTCTTACCACCCCCTGCCATCTAAACAAACTCTCCCCAGTCTTCAAAGCTGGGTTTACATCCCAATAACCACCTACCCAACAAACCATCCCAGTAAACTTCCCATTATATTTAGAACTGCCTGGTATTAGCTTTTCCCAACATTTAAAAATGATTCATCAAGAAAGATGCCCTTCTCTAAGTCCAAATAAAGTCTTTATTGTTATTTTTTAAGCTTTAAAATTTATTTATTTTATTTTATTTATTTTTGGTTGTGTTGGGTCTTTGTTGCTGTGCGCGGGCTTTCTCTAGTTGCGGCGAGGGGGGCTACTCTTCGCTGCGGTGCACAGGCTTCTCATTGCGGTGGCTTCTCTTGTCGCAGAGCACAGGCTTTAGCTGTGTGGGCTTCAGTAGTTGTGGCTCACAGGCTCAGTAGTTGTGGCTTGCAGGCTCCAGAACGCAGGCTTAGTAGCTGTGGTGCACGGGCTTAGTTGCTCCACAGCATGTGGGATCTTCCTGGACCAGGGCTCGAACCCGTGTCCCCTGCATTGGCAGGTGAATTATTAACCACTGTGCCACCAGGGAAGCCCTTTATTGTTATTTTATATATGTCAAAGTCCCAGCAAAAAAACTAGTGGCATATATAAAGGATTTAACTGAAAAAAATTAAATCAAGGGACTGCTGGCAGAAGCATATAAAGGAACTGACAAAAGATGGCTGGAGCACGTAGAATGAGCAATAGTAGAAAGAAAGTACCTGAAGCAACATGAGAAGAAAAGCCATTGCCGTTCCTCGGCCTGAGAAGGCAGCAGTGTCAGCTTGACTGTGAACTCTGGCTATGGGAGGGGGACCACTGGACAGGAGCTGTGGCCATAAGAAGAATGCAGCTAGTGCCAAAGTTGAAGCATAGCAGGGAGAAAGCAGGGGAAATGAATACCCCTGCTTTTCCTTCTACCCCCTAATGCCTTGCCTGGCCATCCCATTGGCCATGTCCAAATGGCAGAATTCAAACTCTCAGGGGACAAGGGTCAAGACAAACAATAACAGAGAAATACTAGCACAACTTATTGCTGAAAGGCACATATTTTCTGAGAATGTATTAGGTAAGAGGCCCTGTGCCAAGAATTTTGCACATATTACATTTTAATCTCAAAAAAGGGAAAATTCTGGAACTATTATCCATATTTTAGAGATGAACAAACCAAAATACTAAGAGGCTAATTTGACCAAAGTCACCCAATTAATAAACTGCAAAGCCTGTTCAGATCTCTCATGCTCTGAAATAATATACCAGGCTGTCTAAATGTACGTCCATTTCTCTCTTGCTCAGCCCCCTAAATGTTAAATCCAAGCATAATTGTCTAAAAGACTTTGATAAAGATCTAATTAATCGTGAAGTGAGTCTGTTATTTCCATGACTTTTAGGTATATAGTGAAATTAGATGATGTCCCTCCCTACATTAATTGTAACTCAAATAAGACTACTATCTCTGGTTATTAAGAATACAAATATAGAATTATCCCTAATTGAGTTACATATCTTTCCTCCCTAGAAACATTTTAGTTAGCCTGAAAGCAGGAGTCTTCTTTTGTGACTTTTTTCACAGGCAAGATTTCCTATTCTAAAAGAAGTGAGCTAATGGCTGGATATGGAAGGAAGTCAGCCACCTACCCATAACAAAGAAATGACCTCCAATGACACACAATGGAAGACAGTGAAAATATTTAAGTCAATATATGATGTCTGTAAAGCCAGCGATAAATTCATAGGACTTTTGTTTGTTTAATAAATAGACAGTGACAGTAGCAATAAAATATATATGCCGAACTAGTTTGCCTATTTTTCTTCCCTGCTGTCATGATGCTATTTTGATGCATGGGCTCTTGGACCACCACTTATAACTGTAGATCTTACTTCCTTAGATGGATGTTCTTCTACCTGTGTTCCAACACCTAAACCCAACAAACTTCCCACTGGATTAGAACTTGCTGAATTTTAATATGCCCCTTAAGTATTTCATAAAATAAAGGAGCTCATGTTTTAAATATATTCAGAAAATTAGGCATCAAAATGCTATTCTTTACCTACACTACTCTTCTGTGGTATGAAATACAAAATAGTGTATCTGAATTCATGTTAGGAAATTGAGATGAAAGATATTTGGAACTGTTGTCACAATGCTAAAGTCAGAATACGTTGCCTATTCAGAGTGGTCTGTGACTGGTGAATTGTATTCGCTCTCAAAGCAAGTACAGTAGAGTATCAACAGATGTAAATGAGCTGAATATATTCTCATCCTCATGATTATTAACCTTCTTTCAGCTCCTCTAATGTGCCAGCTCCTCTGCAGTCTCCAGGCTTTTGCATAAGCAGTTACACTGCTACTGGTCCTCAAGTCCCCATATGAATGTGATTTCCAAGAACCCACTGGAGTAGATTGGAACCCCTCCCCCAGAGATTTGTAGGCCCTTAGCACTTTTGCTTCTACATACCACATATTAAAATTAAACATCTAATTGTCTGTTTTCCCAGCTCCCTGTATGCTCTGTGAGGATAGGGTCTTTGTTCATTATCTCTACCATCTTAGAATAATAGTCACTTGAAAATTTGTTATTGAACGAGTCACAAAAGACTAGACTACAGACAAACTCATAAAATACTTAAGGGGTCAGGTTGTCTCTTTTAATTATATCCCCACCTGGAATATTTCCATCTACCCATATTTATATCTAACTGAATGGAAGACACCATAAACTGAATGATGCACCGTTATTTTATGTACTATTAAGAAAGAAAAGTACTGCCAATCCAATTATAATTGCTAAATGGTTAGATGCCTCCAAGTTTCAAGAGATGTTGAAATGTGGGAAAATATACATCTGAAAATTATAATAAATAACATGCAGTATATCTACATGCAATTTTCTATCACGTTTCTTTGTACTTTTAAAACATGCATCATAAGATTTCAGACACACTCCTTCTAGGTACAAAGATATGAACATTGTCCCCCTTCTCAGTTCTCTTCCAGAGCCAAATCTGTATCTAATTGAGGGGATAATTGCTCCTCTGGCACCAGCAACCTCACCAGATCCCAAGAGCAGACCTTCCTCTGAATACTCTCCCTTTAAAAAGGAAGCTTCAGGAGGAGAAAAGTGACAATAAAAGTAATAAAAAAATGTTCCAGGTCACAGGATCAATAACTCTAGTTTTGGCAAGCTCTAATGTCTCTAATATTCTATCATATTGGTGGTTAGAGCTAGGGCCATGTATATTTGAAGGGACCTAATTTTTATCTAACGTCTTCTATAACTTAAAAGGAAGATGAAAAAGTCAACTAAATCTTAAAAGGAGATTACAATATATGTACTGGTTAGTATTAAGAATTCATTTTATGTGCAAAAGCATTAATATTGTTTTATCCAAATGTAGAGCTCTATAAACAAATTAAGTGAGAAATCTGATTTGAAAAATTATAATTCAAATATTAAAAGGAGTGAAGACATATGCTTTTTTCTATGAACTATCTGAGATCTGCTGAAATAAATGTAAATTCTTAAATTTAAATAGGACACTTAAATCAATCACATTAGAACCTCAAATGATTAAGATGAATGGTCTGCATATTTTATTATAAATCCTATACTATTAATACAAATTACAATGTACTTTCAAAATTTTCTTATTAACTATATACTTTTAGTTTGCCAAGTACTACAGTTTGAAAATGCATGGGTATTGACCAGTTCCTAAAATTATATATTTTATTGTAATATTTTTAATAAAATGATCCTGTACTGTACAGAGATTCATACAAACAGGAACATCCCCACACACATTTTGTTGATAAAATTATTTATTTGGTAGGAGCTTTGTATTGTTCTGTGACAGTTGCAAGTAAGTATTTTTAATCACAGGAATTTAGATAGTAAGTGAGTACAGCAAGTTCCTTTAAAAAAGAAAAAAAAAAAAAGACCTTTACCTTTTCCCTTTCACCATTTTGCCTGAATTCGCTGAATAGCCCTCCCTGTTGACCACTAACTTTGCCTGTGGAGGTCACATAGGCATCTTTGTACAATCTAAGGTTAGCACATTCTCTCTAAATAAATTATTGCTATTTTCACTAGATATTTATAATCAGAGTGCTAGCTATTTATTTTGTAAAGATGATTTTCCAAACCAAGTATAATAAAACTAATTGTCATCATACATTATTTTTGAACACTTTAAGACCTTTTCCTCGTTAAGATGTGTTTAAAAATTAATCATTTTCTTATCTATGCATGGATTATCTCAAAAAACTGAAAGAGGTTTACAGAAACTTACTTTAAGAGTAATCTTCTTTTTAAATTGTTAATAACATTATAAAACAGAATGTGACTTCTTAATTTTAGGATATCAGTGATAGACAAATCAAAAACTCTGAATTAAAGGAGAAATAAAGCTTGTAAAGCCATGTCTTGGAAGCCTTGAATGCCAGGGAATTTGGATTTTAATTAATAGGGAATGAGAACCCCAAATAACTCGAAAGTGTAATGACTGATCTAGAAAGACTAAGTTATAACACAAAATCTAGGAGAAAAACACCTGATCATTCAAGAACAAGCTCAAGTTACTAAAAAGAAAATTCTATTACAGATGTTTCAGATTAAATGATAATTCTGTGAAAAGTTTTGTAGTATGTTCAATCACTGAAGCACATTTATATTTAAAAAGACAGCCCAAAGCAGTGTGCCTCATAATTAAAACAAACAAACAAAAGAACCACAGAATCAACAGTCTATGGGGGTTTCCCATAGATTCTCAATGTAGAAATATGTGTGTATTTTTCTAAAGTAGAATATTAGATCTTTCTCAAGAATTACAACGGTGACCTAGGCTGAGCAAAAGGAATATTACATTGAAAAGAATATAAGGACTGTTTTAAAGTAATAAAAGAGCAAGGAAGTGACCTTCCTTTCAAATGCCCTAGGTTGGTTCCTAAGCTGTGAGTCTTTGTTTAACTGGCAAAGGTGAGAGTTAAGGGGAAATGGCAGTGGGTAATAGCACATAATCTTTGGGGTTGCAGAGATGAGTTCAAGCATCCATAAATGTAGAATTGTGTCAGTGGAAAGAGAAAGTGTGGAATTAAGCAGACCTGGATTTGAATGCTGGTTATGTGATCTTGAATACATTTCTTAACTTCTCTGTAATTCATTTTCTTCATCTATGTATGAGGATAACAAATATTTACCTTACAGGTGAGGACTAGAAAAAGCATAGGAAAGTACCAGGTGAATATTCAGTAAGTGATAGCTCTTCAGTAAAAACCTAACATTTATTAAGGTCCCTGTGTGCCTATCACTGTGATTCTGTGGTTTTCGATCCTTGGCAGATTTTTCAAGAGGGGGATGATTATACTTAGAAAGGTGATCAAGGAGTATCTCAAAGCATCTCCTCCTTTCCCTCTCTCCCTCTCTCTCTCTCTCTCTCTCTCTCTCTCTGTCACTCACACACACACACACACACACACACACACATTCACTCTACCCGTTAAGAATTCTTGTAGCTTAACAAGCACCTTTTAAAAAGATACATGTCCTTTGGAGACACAAGCCATACTCACACTTTAGCGTGATCAGTTCCTTGCTCAGTGAAAAGCTGCTGGGTTCTCCTGGAAGTAGAAGAAGGCAGTCTGAGTTAGGAACTTTGGAAGGGCACTCAGTATGATAGGAAGGTGGGGAAGGAAGGAGGTACAGAAAGAGAAGGAGGGAGAAGAGAGGCCACAAAATATTGGTTCTAATTTACACTAGAGTTTTGGAGGGGACCTATGTATCCCCTGACAATCTCTGAGGAAGTTAATTGAGATCTGAGTATCAAGACTTGTGCCAACATCATATTGCTCCCTTTCATCCCTGTCTCACCAGTTCAGGATGGTAAGCTTCCCTTTAAATGCCATACGCAATAAGATAGGAAGGCGAATGGGGAAGATTTGTGCCCTCTTCTCTCCAACCCATCTTAACTCTCAAGAAAACTTTGGTAGGCTTTTTCTATTCACTGGTCCTTTTAAGAAGCAAGCCCCACTTCCCAAACTCCCCCGCCTCTCCTTCCCCCCCAAAATGTTAAGTGACGTAAGGTTTTTCTTAGCAATGAATTCTGTAGCTATTCAATCAAGGTCGGTCATAGTAGAACAGTCCTTCCCCACTTCCCCAATCCTCAGCTCTCAGCTCAGCTTTGACAGTGAAGATCCCGTCCTAAACTACCGAGACCCAATTCCGCCCCGTAAACATTTCACAGGCTACTGAGCTGCGGAAAGCTGAGTCTGCCAACCTTGGATTCTGGGATTCTCAGGACATCAGATCAAGCAACTGAGAGGTCCATCCAGGGGTAAATTCCACAGATGGTTTCTTCTTTCTCTGGGATCAATGTTCTAACATCTGGGTTAATCAGATCATGCAGACTTGGTTAATTAAGCGCAGAAAACAGCTGGGCACGTTACTCACGGCCCAGACGCACCATGACCAGTCGTTCTTAAGAAACAGCTTCTGTACAGACCAGCTCCAAAAAGCGTGTGGCGTCTGAGTGCGGATAAGGCAGGAGCAAAGCGGGCCGTAGTTTGGACCTTGGGGCCAAGTCTGCACTTTTCTGAGTTCCTTTTACTTTTCCGTAAGTTTTGAAATTGTATTTACCCGGCGGGAGAAGGTGTAGCGTGGCAACCGCACACAGCTGAAAAAAATATATATGTTTGCACTCACAAACTCCCCAGATTCTTCACAAACAGGGGTGGAAGAGAAAACTTAGGACGTCCAAGTTAAGCATTAATACGAATGACTCGCCAGCAAAGATTCCGTACACTTCCCTCGGGTCGTTTATTCTCCGAGAAACACCTCCCGGCTTAGTGCGCCTGCGCACGCGCAAGCTGCGGCCCCGCCTCCCCGTTGCGGACGTAAAACGTGCGCCGGGAGGCAGGACGTGGGCTGCGCATGCGCCCTTACTGCATCGGCCTCTTGATCTCTACGGCCGCTGGAACCACGGAGAAGGTGTTCGCCGGTGTTTCGTTCGCCGGTGTCTCTTGCGCCGGTCCGACGCGGCGCGCCCCGAGACCACGAAAAGGAAGGGCTAAAGTAAGTGTTCACCCCAGCCGCTAGAGTCATATAGAAAGTGTTTCCTTCCCGCCAGGCAAGTGCCTGTAGGAACCGGACCCCGTCCCCTTCACGGCCTAAACTTTCCCCTCCCTACCCCTTTCCTTGTGGCGATCCCCTCGGTTCCTCTTGTTCTGGCGGTGAGCCCCTGCCAAGATCATGAAGCTCGTGAGGAAGGACATTGAGAAAGACAATGCGGGCCAGGTGACCCTGGTTCCCGAGGAACCTGAGGACATGTGGCACACCTACAATCTAGTGCAGGTGGGCGACAGCTTGCGCGCCTCCACCATCCGCAAGGTACAAACGGAGTCCTCCACGGGCAGCGTAGGGAGCAACCGGGTCCGCACTACCCTCACTCTCTGCGTGGAGGCTATCGACTTCGACTCTCAAGCCTGCCAGCTGCGGGTCAAGGGGACTAACATCCAGGAGAATGAGTATGTCAAGATGGGGGCTTACCACACCATCGAGCTGGAGCCCAACCGCCAGTTCACCCTGGCCAAGAAACAGTGGGACAGTGTGGTTCTGGAGCGCATCGAGCAAGCCTGTGACCCAGCCTGGAGCGCTGATGTAGCGGCTGTGGTGATGCAGGAAGGCCTCGCTCATATCTGCTTAGTCACTCCCAGCATGACCCTCACTCGGGCCAAGGTGGAAGTGAACATCCCTAGGAAACGGAAAGGCAACTGCTCCCAGCACGACCGGGCCTTGGAGCGGTTCTATGAACAGGTGGTCCAGGCCATCCAGCGCCACATACACTTTGATGTTGTAAAGTGCGTCCTGGTGGCCAGCCCAGGATTTGTGAGGGAGCAGTTCTGCGACTACATGTTTCAACAAGCAGTGAAGACGGACAACAAAGTGCTCCTGGAAAACCGGTCCAAATTCCTTCAGGTAAAACAGTCTTACCCAGGGATAATTAAGAATGGGCAGAGGGGTTTATGTAAATGACTCCTAAAGTTTTAGAACCAGGAAAAGTACAAGAGGAGGAAGGTTTAACTTGACTGGGATTGTAAGTGAGATCATGAAATGAAAAGAGACTAGCAACTTGATATAGTAAACTTGGCTTAAATCCTTAAACATATAAAGCCTTACCAGTGTTTTTGGCTTGAGGTCATTGTGGGCTGTTTAATGGGTACTCTAAGAGATCTTTTGTCTAACTTTTGTAATTGTGATTCTAGGTACATGCCTCCTCTGGACACAAGTACTCCCTGAAAGAGGCCCTTTGTGACCCTACAGTAGCTAGCCGCCTTTCAGACACTAAAGCCGCTGGGGAAGTAAAAGCGTTGGATGACTTCTATAAAATGTTACAACATGAACCTGACCGAGCTTTTTATGGACTCAAGCAGGTGGAGAAGGCCAATGAGGCCATGGCAGTTGACACATTGCTCATCAGCGATGAGCTCTTCAGGCACCAGGATGTAGCCACACGGAGCCGGTACGTGCGGCTGGTGGACAGTGTGAAGGAGAACGCAGGCTCTGTTAGGATCTTCTCCAGTCTTCATGTGTCTGGGGAACAGCTCAGCCAGTTGACTGGGATAGCTGCCATTCTTCGCTTCCCTGTCCCTGAACTCTCTGACCAAGAGGATGATTCCAGTTCTGAAGAAGATTAATGATTGGAACTAATAATCGAGACAACCTGTGTCTCACTCCTTCACTGTTAGATTTTCTCAGCATCCTTGTGACAGAAAGCTGCAAAAGTGGCACTTTGTGATTCTTACAGGGGTTTCTCATGTATTTGGTCACACTAGGTGATTTGTGGTTGGCAGGACATGTATTCAAACTGAACAATAAAAGGAAATAATCTCCATGTATTACCATCTTTATTAATTGGGAAATTTTTTTTCAGAATTATGAGTTATTCGCAGTACTTAGAAACATTTTGTATATTGAATGCCCATATATTCTTTGGAATAGACTGTAAAATCCCATACTGCATGCTTTGAAGTAGTTTTCCTTAGGAAAAGCTTTTTAATATCTCATCTTCAGTTTACATTGTTTATTTTAATTCGGCATGGTGTTCTTACACTGGTTTTCTTAATGATCCTTTTCTCCCCATTTCCCCCCACATTCCATTTTTTTTAATTTTTAAATTTATTTGCTATTTTAAATGATAGCTAAATAATTAGAAGACTTTTCTTGAGGACAACTTTAAAATGTGTTTTTCTTAAGAGACTTGTTAAACCAATCATGTTAAAAGTAACAAGGTGGGGTTTTTTTGCTTTAGAACTAATCGTAATTGCTTCAGAGGAGCACTTAATTAGTTATTTTTAGGTCATTGAGCTTTGGTCTGCTAAGGATTCTCAGGATAATCTATTTAAGGTGCCTTTATTTTTAAAATGAGGCTAAGGTATGTGATTTGCTTATGGGCTATTAGTGGCAAACCTAGAAGTAGTCCCCAGTCTGGACTTGAGTTCTTTGCACTGCTACACCATTTATGTATTTATTTTTTGGCGTATCATAGTTAAATACTTAATGCTACCTTGAATTTGTATTTGCTTTTACATTCTTAGTGGACTTTCTCTACGCCCTATTTTAGGGGTGAGAAAGCCTGTTCAGAAAGTTTAAGTCACATCATTAGTATGTGGCAGTTGATTTGTACTCCAGCTCTTTACCATACTTAGGGAATTTCGGCAAATAGCTGAGAGTTTAAAATATTTTCATTATTTTTTCCAAGAGTTAGGGAGGGGGCCTTGAAATGTAATTGCATCTTGACCTTTTACACATCTCAGCTTAGCAAAATAATTAGGAAAGGCCTTATGAAGAGTGAAAATTCAGTCTGTAACTCCAGGATCAGTGGTGCCTGCTTCAAATAAGGACACTAAGTAAACTTTTGCTTGTCCTGTGTCTGAGCCTTTCTCCTGTTCTAAGTGCCAGGTTTGGGGATTATTTTTTTTAAACTTCCTAACTAATCTGAACCTTTTTATCTGTAGTTAGGGGTAGACACCTCCATATACTTTAAAACCACATTTTTATATGTCTATTGTACTTCCTAATCAAAATAATTCAGATTGTCGTTTCGTTATAATTCATGAATATTTAAGATATCATTAAAAGTATGTCATTAATAATTTGGTAGGAGTGTAGATATGAAGTCACTAAGATTCTTAATGTTAGAACCTGATTGATAATGCATCATATTCTCAGGAAGAATTTGGAGATTTGGGGCCTCGTGCTCATAATCTATGCAGAACTGGTTATTCCTCGCTGTTATCCTTGGTAATAAAAACCAGGGGAAATGAAAGCTTATGGTAAGTCTAACCAATACATTTTAGGACATAAGTTCTCAAATTTAGCTGCCTCTTAGCTTCACCTTGGGAGTTTTAAAAACTCTATACCCAGACTGGACCCCAGACTAAATAACCTTACACCCCTAGCAATGCTGGAGTGTTTTTTTTAAATTATATTAAAGCTCCCAGGTGATTCCAATAGGCATCAAGGCTGAGACCCTTGATTCAGGCCTTGCTATTCAAAAGTGTGGTCCATGGACCAGCAGCATCCCCTGAGAGCTTGTTAGAAACTGGAATCCAGGGCTGTACACTAAACCTATTGAATTGCAATCTGTATCTTAACATCTCCAGTTGATTGCTGTGTATAATCAAAGCTGATAAACATAAGCAATAGCTTATTCTCCCTGTGCTAGTTAATCTCTGCCTAGGGTTGCCAGCCATAGAGAAAAAGATTTGAGTTTTAAGAGAGCTAAACTGCCAATATTCAATTAAATTATCTATAAAACTCTAAATGAAAGCCTGTTTATATGTCTATAACATATTTAAAATATATTTAAGAATTTGTATTTTTAAAAAGTTACATATTATACCAATACCATTATCAAGAGTATAAATCTTCCTAGATGCATAGGTGTAAATATCAAAATAGTGATAGGAGCATATAAAATACAAAATTAATTCAAATAATTAGTTTTTACTATTCTATAGAAAACAAAATGAACCATAGGTCTCTGGAAATCATATGCAGTAGTTTAATTCCAATTGCTCTTCATTAATAAGGAATGATGACTATGGTAACAAATGGAAACACTGTCAATAACATACCTCTCACATTAATGCAATGTTGTACTGTAAGTTTCCATTTACCATAAGGTGCTTGTTGTAAACAAAGATTGCTGCCCTCACTAGACTCAATAAATGAGAAGTTTGCAATTTGTTTCATTTTGTTCCAGATATGATACATATAAAATTACGTTTTGCTATTCCTGGTCTATTATATGTTAAATATTTTGCTAATTTTACGTCTGGACAGTTGATGCTGGATTTCACTTTCATTACTCCCTTATATACAAGTTGGATTCCCCCCCACCCCCAGGTGCCACTAGAATAGCTTTGTAAAGCTAATTTTCTTTTATCTCTAGTTACTTTCAGTCATTAACTTTAGTTTCCTTTTTTAATCCCTGTAACCAGATATCAAACTCACAGTATCTTTAACAGAAGTGACTCATAATTTCTGCAGTTCATATATTCTGGAACTGAAATTCTCTGTGTTGCTAAAAAAAAGTACACGGATGAAATGGTGTATATGTGAATTCCGCAAAGTAGAAGCTGTTTGTTGGGAAGGTACTATTTGGCTTTTAAATCAGATGGTTTTCCAAGTAAATAAAACTGGCAGTTTGTATTCATTATCGGGATATGTTGAATTACATGTTGAAAAGGGGTTTCTAAGGTGTTTCTTAGAGTTTGAGTAGAGAGAAATTCTTTCGCCTGTGGCCAGAGTTTAGCTATGAGGCATCCATATTTATATTACCCCAGTCATCAAGGGCAGTACATTTAATTTTATCCGTTCATTTTTTTAGTACCTGTTTGAACCCAGTACTGAGCTGGGTTTAGGGAAGAAACATGTAAACAAATCACTGGATAAAAGTAACTTGTAGAAAGTATGAGAGGGCACAATGTTGCAAGGGGTCGCTTTTAGAAGGAACTTTATAGAGCAAGAGCCAGTAAATGTACTTAAAATGATAAACCTGGAGAGGTTATCAGGAAGAGGAGGAGGGCGGGGCAAGTGTGCTAATCACATCAGACCCTCCATGCCACAATAAAGAGTAGGTTCGACCATTATGAGAAACCACTGAAAAGTTTAAACAGGAGAATGGCATGATAAACTTTGCATTTCACAAATATCACTGTTTGGCAGCATAAAGGATGCATTGGAGGAGGCAATATTGGAGGCAAGGAGACAGATTAAGAGAACACTTATTAGAAAAATTTAAGAGGAAAATGATGACGGTCTAAACAAAGGCAGTAAGAATGAACAGTCAAGAGGAGGTATTAGGAGATAGGCTCAGAGGGACGTGAGGTTTGTTCAGAGTTATGGAAGGAGTAGAGTCTAGGGGTAAATCTCAGGGTTTTCTTCTTGACTGGTGGGAGATATTAGGGCATAATTCAGACACAGGAAAAATAGGAAGAGAAGCTGACTTGTAAGGAAAAACAGTAAGTTCAGTTTGGAATCTGGTTTGAAGTGCCTGTGGGACATCTGTAATGCTTTTCCACCAGACTGTTATATGCTTACTTACTCCCTTCAGGTTTTTGCTCAAAATATCACCACCTCCATGAAGTCTTCCTAAACCAGCCTTTTTAAAAAATATACCTTCTCCAAGATTCCCTTATCCTTCCTTGTCGTATTTTTCTCTGTAACGCTTAATTTCACTTAGTTGTTTTGCTTATCATCTATCTAGAATGCAAGCTCCAGGAAGGCAGAGATTATTGTCTGTTAGGTCATTGCTGTATCCCCAGTGCTAAGCACAAACCCTGGCACAGAGTAGATGCTCCAAAAAAAAAAAAAAAAGATGACTAAATGAATGACCGAATGAATCAGCCTCCAGAAGAAGGTCCCTTAGGCAGTTGTGCATACAGTTCTGAAGTTCAGGAAAAAGCATTTGGCCGGGGATAATAATACAAGAAATGTTCAGCATATAAGCAGACCAGAAATCATGGAGAAAAAAAAATGACCTAGGAAGTATTAGTAAAACTAGAAATAAAAGAGGGCCGGGCAGCAAAGCATAGGGAAACAGCAATATTTAATCTCTTTAAATGCTACTTCATTCTCTGTATTATAACAAAGCACAGGTGTTTATAGATTTCAACACTTAATATAGTCAGATAATTATTTTTCCCCTACATATCTCTATAGTGTACTAGAGATATACATGTAGAATAGTTAAAGTATTGATTTCATAGAAAGCTGAATTTTTTAAAGTTCTTAAGATAAAAATTTCTAAGTCGGGGGGCAAAAACCAAATTACTTTTGTTTGTTTTTTAAGTGGATCTTAACATACATGTACATTTACTAGTTTAGTGTATGAAAAGTTAGTTTTAAAAAAAAGATATATTGGGGGTGATGATTTAATTTATTAAAAGATTTTTCTCAGGATCCCCATAGTACAGGGATTATTAGCAAGCTCTGTTTCATTCAGGTCGAAGGGTTACTGCTATATGGCCCTTAGCCCTCATGTCTCCTACCCTAATCTGCATCTTTGATTCCCTCACCACTTCCTCTTTTACTCCCTGTGGGACCACAAGTGTCAGAGTTGTGACATAAACTTTGCAGAGTTATACCTGTTCTAAAAATTGATTTTGACCAGCCCATAATTTTGTTGATACACATTTTTCAGCAAATGAGTTCCCAGTTAGTGAAGAACAACTAAAATGGGGATGTAAAAGCAATTATAAAAAGAATAAACAATTTCAGATAAAGTTTTTAAAGCCCTAAATAAAAGTTTTCTTCATGTTGATGTTAGCGTATTTAAACTTTGTGCTGTGATTCAGTTTACATATTGTAAAAGATTTAGTAGTTTAGAAAA